ATGACAGGAAGAGACAAATAAAACCACAGAGAAAATTGTCAAAGATTTGTTGGAAAAGAATTTCCCTGATATGATGAAAGATAAGCATATACTCATTCAAGAAGTTCAACTAACCCCAAAGAAAACAGACCCTCCCAAAAAAAATCACCAAGACATATAATCAAACTCACCAAAACCAAAGACTGAGAAAGAATCCTGAAAGCAGCATGGGAAAAACAAAAAGTTAACTACAAAAGGCAACCAATAAGATTAAGCTCTGATTTCTCAGCAGAAACCATGCAAGCAAGAAGGCAATGGGATGCTACATATAAAACCCAGGGGGTGGGGAATCTTCCAACCAAGAATTATATACCCAGCAAAACTGTCCCTCAAATATGATGGTGAAATTAGGACATTTCTAGATAAGCAGAATTTGTTAAAACCTGACCAACATTACAGAGATGCTAAAGGGAGTCCTTCAGACAACCAACAATAGCAAACAACAACCAATGATTAACACACATGATAACATAACCCAGAAACCAACCCAGTTATAGAAGTATCCAAAGTAAATAAGCCTACAAGATCATAAGCAGGGAACTAGAGATCAATTGGCAAATGAAGACAACAACAAACCAAAAACAGGGAAAAAACTGTGTAGATATAGAACTTTTAAATGGTGAGGAAGTCAAGATAATTGCAAGATAAAACAGATTGTTCTAAATTTGGGAAGAAAACTATAAATCACAAGGTAACCACAAAGAAAAATAATAAACCTTTGCATCAAAACAAAAGACAAGCATGAATATTTAGCAAATACTAAAACAAAAGTAGCAAAGGAAATGATAATATGACTCATAAACAAAATGAGCTCAGCACAGAAAATTATATGGAACAAAGAAATCAGCAACACGATGAATGAAACATAACAAAATGACAGCAACAAATTCATACTTGTCAATAATTACACTGAATGTAAATGGATTAAATGCACCACTCAAGTGATAGGAGAGTTGCAGATTGAGTAAGAAAACATAATCCATCAATATGCTGTCTACAAGAGGCACACAAAGGCAAAAATAGACTAAAAATCAAAGGTTGGAAAAAGGGGTATCAAACAAATGGTAATCAAAAAAAGTAGGAGTGGCAATACTCATTTCTGATAAAATTAATTTTAAGAGAAAAACCACGATAAGAGACAAGGAAAGACATTATATAATGATTAAAGGATCGACTGAACAAGAGGACATAACCATAATAAGTATCTATGTGTGGTGGTTTTGTTTTTGTGTCAACTTGGCTAGGCCTGGTTGAGTGGCTGGGCAGCTGGATGTAGTATTCCCCATGATGAGACTGGTAATCAACTCCATGGTGGAATCTACCATTAGCAGCTGAGTAGCTGCCTTTGGGTATGTGGTCTGCTTCCTGTATATAAGAAGAAGCTTTGAGAAAGGTCCCTAGCTTATGGAACGCTTGGACCCTGCATGTAGCTGTGTCGTTGCTCAGCAGCCTGCTATGCTCTGCTGACCTTGGGACTTAAGATGGACTTAAGTCAAGGGCCTGCTGTGTGGTTTGGTAACATCAGGACTGTGCCTTTTGACTTGTCAACACTGGGGCTTCTCAGCCTCAGCAGCCAGCGGCTGTCTGAGTGAAGAAATGCCTCTAGCTCCAGTGGGCCAGGAGCAGGAGGCAGAGCTGGACCCCAAGATTGAGGGGCTTTCACACAGCCCCTAGAGTCTGGCACTTTGAACTTGGACTTAAAGCCTCCAAATTGTAAAAATAAACTCCTGTTTGTTTAGGCCATCTCATTTGTGGTATATTTCTTGTCAGAGCAGCACTAGGTAACCAGAACACTATGCACCCAAGGAAAGAGCCCCAAAATACGTACATCAGAGTCTAACAGAATTGAAAAAAGAAATAGGTCACTCTGCAGTAATAGGAAACTTCAATACATCACTTTCAATGAAAGACAGAACAACTGGAAAGAAACTGAGCAAAGACACAGAAGAACTATTCCAGAACATTGCAGCACTACTCACAATAGCAAAGAGATGAAACAATTTTAGTGTCTATCAACAGAAGAATGAATAACCAAACTATGGTACATACACACAGTGGAATATTATGCAACACCACAAAATAACACAGGATTTGCGAAACACTGCATAAGGTAGATGAACTTTGAGGACTTTATGCTGAGTTAATAAGTTAATAACAGAGGGACAAATAACTGTATCAGTTCACTATTGTAAAACGTTAACAAAAGGTTTATACATGGAAAGAAACTGTTGGTTACTGGGGAGGGAAGGGGAGGAAACACTGCTAGATAGGTAGACAAGTATTGATTTGGGTGAAAGGAAAGGCAAATACCAAAAGCCAAGTGACCAACACAATAACACTAAGGAAAAGGAAGAAAGACATAGAGAGGTACACAAGAGGTACAGACAAAAAAGATAAACCCTTTTACATATACAATACTGTGTTACCAGTGATAACAAACATTAATCTACGGGTAAATAGATGGATAGACAGACTGAATGATCAGGTATGTCTAGGCAAAAGGGAACTAGACCATGACCATATATAAATAAGGTTGGCAGACGATATTTCTACAAATGTATTTGTATATGCTGTAAGAATGTCCATCTATATAATAGAGCTAACAACAGGCAACGTTATGATAACTTCTTAGCACAGCCAACCACCCTGAGGGAGCAAACAGTTGGACCTATGGGCTCAGGACCATGGTCACAGAGGACATCAAGCTCAATTGGCATAACATACTACACAAAAACATTGTTCTACATCCTACTTTGGTGAGTATCGACTAGGTCTTAAAAATTGGTCTCTCCTCATCCAGAGCAAAGAAAAATGAAGAAAACCAAAGATGCATGGAAACTATAAGTCCAAGGGACTAGTAGACCATGTGAACCTCAGCCTCCATGACCATGAGATCAGAACTAGATCGTGCCCGGCTACCACTGTCAACCACTTGAAAAGGGATCAGTGCAGGAGATCCTAGATAAAGTGGGAGAACAATGTGAAACTAAACCCAAAATCATAAAAAAGACCAGGTTTACTGGGCTAATAGAGCTTGGTGAGACCCCTGAGACTACGGTCCCTAATTACCATTCAGGTCTGGAATTGAACTCATTCCCATTGCTTCCAGCCAAACAATAAAAAGGCATACAGGGTGAACATTTATATCAGGTAGATAGACTCCTTAGAATTATCAATTGTGGGAGAACAGAAAGGTAATATTTGCACAGGGAGATAGCTCAGGGAGCAGGAATGCATAGGAGAGAAGGACACAGGGAAGCAATAACTATAGGGAGGAACTGGGAAGAGAGCTGTTTCATTGTGGGGCTTGCAGTCAATGTCATAAAACACAGTGTGTATCAACTGCCATATGGAAAATGAATTTGCTCTGTAAACTTTTACCCAAATCACAATAAAAAAAAAATTAATTAATAAAATTGTTAAGCTACTTAGTAAGAGTGATCAAGAAAAAGAAAACACAGGCCCCAGGTGCCAGTGTCAAGAAGGAAAATGGGGCCATCAGTGCCAGGCCTGTAGTGTTTAAGACCACTCTAGGAAAAATTTTGTGCCAATCAATATAAAATTTAGTTGAAATGGAAAAACTCCCAAAACTAATACAAAGAGAAGGAAAATCTGTATAGTCCTATAACTACCAAGAAAACTGAGCACATAATTTAAAACCTTCCCTCAAAGAGACCTCCAGGTCCAGCTGGACTTACCAGATAACTTTCTCCAACACTGAAGGAGGAAATAACACTAATCTGACATACACTCTCCAAAGAATGTATAAGGACACAACACTTTGCTCTTTGAGCAGAACAACCACAATAGGAGACCCCTATAAGGACAGCTTCAGAGAGGAAAATTACAGACCAGTTTCTCTTGTAACTATAGCTGCAAAAATCCTGAACAAAACATTCTTCAAAGGAATCCAAAAAAATTAAAAAAAAACTCACTGCCATCAAGTCAATTCTGACTCATAGCAACCTTCCTTGGGTTTCTGAGGTGGTAAATCTTTATGGAGGTAGATTGCCCAGTCTTCCTTCCACAGAGTGGCTGGTGGATTTGAAGTGCCAACCTTCTGGTTAGCAGTCAAATAAATGCCTTAGGCACTATGCCACCAGAGCTCCTTTCCAATGGAATCCAGCAATATATAAAAAGAACCATACGTCATGACCAAGATGAGTCCATTATCAGGTTTGTATCCAAAACTCAAGCAGTGTGATGAAAATAGAATAAAGGAGAATCTGCTGAAACCACACAGCAGCATGCCCCATAACACAACAGTTCTACCCCTATATGTCCCCCATATGCACATCCCCAAGAAATTTACACTTATGTCCCCAGAAGACAGGAGTGTTTCATAATAACCCCAAACTGAAAGCAATGCCGGTGTGCCTCAACAGATGAATGGATTAAATAGTGGGGCCTTTCTATCCAAATGGCAATGGCAGTGAAAAATAATCAACTACTACTACATGCAATCATTGGCTGAGTCTCATAGATGTGGTGATGAGTGGAATAATGAGGCAATCCCTCTGTGCAGGGCAAGGAGAGGTGGATGAACCCAGGGGGCTGCTGGAGATGTTTCTCTGCCTAAATGCTGGTGACAGAATTCATTAAGTCATCACCTAGGGTTCGGGGACTTTGTATATATGCTGTTCTTCAACAGAAGAGCTTACTGTAAAACCACCATTTATTTGAACACAAGTGAAATTAGATGAAAATCTTTTTTTAAACATTATTAAGCCATGAAAAGTAACTCATTTTTGTATTGTAACTGCTGCTATTCTGGCTCTCAATACACATATGTGGTCTATTTTAGGGCAAACAACTAGACTCAGGAAGATCCCAAACTCTTGTGAATATAAATGAGTTTTACCTACAGGGTCACTTTCTAACACAAGCCACCACCATCAGAGGAGATCTGCTCTCAGTTTCAATGTGGGAGCAGCTAAAGATAGGCCAGGGCTTTGGCTCACCTGACTTCACCCGCCCTATGATCTGGAAACTGCTTATGGAAATGCTTCAGTGCCTGCATCACAGCTGAGGTGCACTCCACATACGTGTAGTCGATCATGATGTCCCCTGGGAGGAAGAAACACATAAGTCCCTGCAAGCCCACAATGAAAAGATGCCCCAGTGGGCAGACCCAGCAATGCATAGCTCAGGGCTCCTCCAGGAGGATGCATGTGTCACCAAAGACCTGCCCAGGGCCATAGCCACCAGTGGCAGAGAGACTTGCACCAGTATGGTGAGTGGTCCCTCCTGGCCTGTCTATGGGAAGCACAGGATGAGAAAACAAGGCAGGGAGCTGCATCTTGACCTACATTAGACCCCACCCCACCACCAGGGGAAAGCCTCCTCCAGGACCATCTACCTCACCTAGAGGAGCAGGATAAAAACACACCGAGAAGGAGGGTGCCATGCCAACTCAACCAGGAAAGACTCCACCTCACCAGACCAGAGCAACCCATATGATGGACACTTGCAGACAATAGAGTACCAGGTCTAAGGACCCGGCTCTACCTGACCCCTCTCTGCATGAAGCCAGGCCTCAGTGAGGGCATCTGAGGCAATAGCCCCAGGCAAGGGGTTCCCAAAGATGTGAGGCCTTCACCAAGAATGAGTTGGACCTCAGTTCTCCCCTTTGGAGTATAGAGTCCTGTGAGGGGAATTTAAGGAGCAGGGAGACAATGGGACCACCTTCACTTTAGGACTGTCTCCGGCAATTCCCCGAGCCAGGGAAAGAAATATGGAGCCAGGGACAGGGCCACAGAGCCTGGGCCATTGTCTGCAGAGCTATATCCCTCACCAATGGCTGCATACTTACCAAAGACCTCTGAAGGATTCAGCAACTCCAGCAAGTGCCCCCCACGCTTGGTCTCATAGGTGGAAAACCCTCCATCAGAATTTCTCATATTCAGCAGCTAAAACTCAAGAGAGGGCACCAGAACCCGGTGTCTGTGGAGATGCAGCACAGCTTCCCAGCAGTACTAGGCCAAGTGCCACAGAGAATGGAACAGGCACAGAGAGCATCTCTAGGTTAAACCATACCCTGTGCCCAGAACAGTAGGCCACAAACTTCACCACCAAGTACTTGGTGAGTAATAACATGCATAGAGGCCATTCATGAGCCAGACATGTGCTGCCAAGCTAGTATGCAACATTGTCCAGTGTAAGTCATGCACAAAAGAGAGCACGTGGAAATGATTTCACATTCTCGTTTTCTCTTCGTGCACTGCGACCCTCCTGCAGGGTCCTTGGAGCTGTGGTATGGGTGTGGTCAGGTCCCAGACCTCCACACAGGGTAGAAAACAGGGCTGCAGTGGCTTCCTCACAGCCCCTGCTTCTGTCTCCTAGGGCCATACCCAACCTCAGGCCTCCATAGCCCTGCTAGACTCTCAGTTCCCACATGGAACCCCTAGGACAAGCTTGTCTTTAAGGCCTGCATCTCCCTGGGCCACCTGTCTGTGGGGTTGCTGGGGAGCAGAGATGCTGTCCTCCCACCTGGCCCAGTGCCCTCACCACAGCAACTGCATCGTATAGCCTCTCGTCGGGTACATGCTCGGTGATAAAGGGACACTGCTCCTGCAGGAGGAGCACAGACTTCAGTCCCTCAGCTGTGCAGTCAGCAACGATCCAGCCACAGTCCCGTGTGCTGAAGGGGAAGCCACCCTGGAACCAGAGTTCAGACTAAGCAGGTGCTAAGCAGAGGCTACCACACTAGGCAGGCAGCACTTCCAGGGCTCCAGCTCCCTACCACGAGGGGCTGGGCCAACAACTTTCTGCCCCCTTCCATCTCCCCTCAAGCTCATGGCTCAATGGTTACTGTTTGAACATCTGTAACCTCCCCGAAAGGTGGCAGGCACAGGCAGGCATGTGCAAGTATGTGAACCTGTATGTGCAAGGACCATGGCCAAATGAGGAGACAGCTTGCCAACTGGTGGTAGAGGGGTTGGGGAGGGAGGCCATCTTCTCAGTGGGAAATGCCCTCAGGCATCAGGGATGACCACACACGCAGGTAAAGGTATATCAGTGTCTTGGGTGGAATAGATACCTACCTTGTTCATCTGGCGATAATATTTCTGGTAGTCAGGGGGGTTGTCCGGGATCTGGACAGCATCACATGGAAGGCAAAGGAGAGATGTCAGTACCATTGGTTGGGGGACACAGGGACAGGGAGAGGCTGAAAGGGAGGGACTAATGGTGGGGTAAGGGCCTGTCTTCAGTCCCATGATCATGGATCACTCTCACTAGCTCCAGGCATGAGTCAGACAAGGTCCAAAGTGACACAAGTCCCTGGGGACCTCAGCAAGCTCAAGGAGAAATAGGGCTAGAGGCAGAATGCAGGAGATGGAGGAGGGGAATGGGGAGAGTAACACAGAGGTTGAGCTAGGAGACCAGGGTGGAGACAGGCAGGTGCAAGAACAGGCTAGGGAGGGACTGTCAGGAACCAGTGGCCTCACCTGTGAGATGCGGAGGAAACCATGCGCTTGCTGCAGGCAGGATGCAAACTCAGGCCTGTGGTGTGCACCAGACTAAGGGAAAGGAGAGCCCACTGACACCTGGACCCACCCAAGATTGTCAATCCCACAGACAACCTCACAGTGGGCAGAGAGGGTGGCAGGTGTCTGGAACTATAGGGCTGGAGACTTACTGCATCTTCTCCAATTCAGAACATACTTAAAAGCACCATCATCAGCTCAAAGCAAAGGATAACCTGACCCCCAATCCCTGTAGCAGCCCCCAGCCCTAGCATCCTCTACCTACAACCAATACTCCATTCACACCCCAGTCAGTCCCTCCCTCCCCAACCCAGCCAGATCCCATGGCAACTTGGTATCACCACCAGGACAACAGAGGACACTTCAAACCCAACCTGCTCCTCACAACCTCCACCCCAGGGTGAAGCAAAGACCCAAATGTCCCTGGGACTCAATGGCTCAGCATTGCCTTATACTCACACCCAAGATATTGGGGCAGCACCCCCAAAAAGCCAGACCCACTGCCATCTAGTTGATTCTGACTCATAGCAACCCTTTAGGACTGCCACACAGGGTTTCCAAGGCTGAAATCTTTACAGAAACAGACTGCTTCATCTTCTTTCTACAAAGTGGCTCGTGGGTTAAAACCATCGACTTTTTGGTTAGTAGTCAAATGCTTTAACCACTACACCACCAGAGCTCCAAGGCAAGCACCATGCTCAGGAAATGTGGTGATGAGTCCAGGAGTTGGAAGGAGCCAGCAAAGGAGGCCCAGGCCCCATATGGATCAAGACCCCAGCCAAGCTCTAGAGACCTGGCCAAGTAGAGGACTTGAGGAACAGCAAGGGCATGACATGGGGAAGGCACACTGGGGAGATACGTTGTGAGGCCACAGCAGGGACAACATGTGGAACTGTGCACAAGCTAGGCTGACAGAGAAGAGCACATACCTCCAGGAAGGCTTGGACAGCAAACGAGGTGTCCCAGACCTGTGAGCCATTGGTGCCCTGGACACAAATGGGGCCATCATAGCAGGGGCAGCAGCACATCCTCCCCCACCCACATATACCCTTCAGGGTCCAACGCCACTGGACACAGGGCAGCCTGAGGAAGAGGGGGCCCAGCCAGACAGCAACCCCAGCTCTGAGCTCTGACCCCAAGTAGGGACCAACAAGGATTCTGGAGAGGACCACTGCTTCGGGGTCACTTGGTACAGCAGCTCAGCCAACACTAACAGTGGGGAAAAGAATGGAGAACTATGATTTTCTTGAGAACATGGTGCCCCACACCCAAGGAGCATCTGTACTTAGCTACTGGAGGTCCTTTCTAGTGGGGGGCTTGGGGGAAACGCATCCCCTCATCACACACAGCTAGGGTCTATTAAAGAAGGAAAGTCTGAATCTAAGAAAGCCCCATGCAAGATAAAGATGGCAGAAAGAGCTGCTGGGGCAGGCTATGCCCCCATGTCCCCATGGTTCCAAGTCCTACCTGCATCTTCATGCCATCGAGCCCCAGCCTGTGAGGAACAGAGGCCACATCAGGGAGCTGGAAGACAGGCTCCCTGACAATTCAGTTTCTTCTTGGCTGCAAATCTCTGATGCAAAGATAGCCTCACCAGCTCCACAACCCTGAACTCCTGGTCACAACTGCTATTCCCAGACCCCATGGCACCACAGCCCCTGCCCTGGGACTGGACAAAAGGTACCCTTCTGCAGCCATGCCCATGGTGTCTCTGCCAACAACCTGCAAGTGTGCATTTGGGCCAGGAATGGCCACCTACTCACCAGAGATAGTCAGGGATCCTGTCCACATGCTCCTGGAAGGCAGGGGAGGCTGCACCATCCACATGCCATCGCACAAGCATGTTGATGGTCTTAGAGATCTGTAAACATGCAGTTATATTGAGCACAAGGCCACCTGACAGACGTGCCACCCCAGGGAGAGTAACCAACAGGCAGCAGGTGGGGGACAACAGGGCAGTAAGTGGGGAGGACTGTGGAGGTGAGCACGGGTAGCACCAGGTAGCAGGCAGGGAGACTGCATGGCAAGGTCAGGGTAGACCTGTGGGTCAGTGGGCAAGGCTAGGAACAAGGAGTTCTATATGGCAGGACTGTGACATATTCTGAGCAGAGGACAGTGCTCTCAGGGTATGCATTAAAGAGATCATTCTAGATCCAAGGGGCACAGGTGAGACACAGAGCCCCTGTTTAGAGAGTCTTGCAGTCAAAACTCAAAGAAACCACATTTCTAGCTCATCTTTATTACAAAATCTTTACATGGAGCATTAAATCAAAGCCCCAAAGCCTCCTTGGTCACAGATAAGGGACACAGGGATGCTGCCTACTGAGTCAATTACAATGCTGGCCATACCAAGGTGACACAGAATTGGGTTAGGTAGGGTGTGAGGCTCTAAGCAGCATTCTCCAAGCCTCTCCAGGCCTACAGGGTCACCTCTGAGTTCGCTAAGAGTGGGACAGATAGTTGACTATGTGGGGCAGGGATGAGGAGGGGGTCACAGGAGAAAAGGTAGCCCCTTCTAGCCAGCCCAGAGTGGCAGCTCAGGAGGTATTGTGAGGAGCAGCACCCAGAGCCCCCTCAAAAGACCAGACTTGGTGGTGGGGATGGGGCAGGATCCAGCTTCCCCAAGCTAGAGGGGACGGGCACATGGGTAGAGCTATGTGGGTCAGGAACACCTCAGGGCTCCTCCTCCTCACTAGGGTGATAGTGAGGATCACTAGATGCCCTGCATAATACCCTGAAAGGCTCAGGATACCCTGTATCATCAGCACAGGAGAGCCCCCAGACAGGGGCCAGATTGGGGGCACCAACCGGACCAATGCTGATGCTTTTGGTGAAGCGGTCATCAGCTACGATGTGCTCATACAGTTTCTGGATGGCACGCTGCCGCAGGCTGGTGCTATGGTGGCGCTCATACAGGTTGAGTAGCACTAGGGTTAGGAGTGGAGAGGAAGGTGTCAGCTGACCCACACTTGTGCTGTGTAAAGAGCAGCCTAGGTCCTAGACAGCACTGGGCTTCCTCAGCTCCTTTGCTCCATCTCCCCTTTCCCTGCACTCCAACCTTCCTCCCTTCCCACCTGACTCAGGATATGCTCACTGTGGCCCTCACTCCATCCAAGTCTGCTACTCTGAGTACCTCCCACTCACCCCACCTCCCCATATGAGTGATCAGAGGCACCATGAGCCAAACCCAGTCCAGCTGCTGTCAGCCTAGGCAGGCTGGTGTGTCCCACCTTCTGCCATGGCTATACGAGCTGCTCAGGTCAGTGGGTTAGAATGGGAACCAGGAGGAAGTGAGACCAGCCTCTACTTGCTCACAGTTAGGCTGGGTCTGCCATTGTTATCGGGCAAGGCATCCATACTGCCTCTACATAGTTCAGTTGCCTTGTAGGGAGGTGGGATGGCTCAGGCCACAGAACCCCACCATGGCAGACCACCTGACTCCTCCCTTCGTAAAGAACAATGGTGATCCTCTGAAGTCCACCTGTACCCTCCCATGGGGCCATGCCCAGCAGCAAGTGCACTAGCCTGGTGTAAGAAAATGACCAGGCCCTGGTCCTTCCTGATAGCACTGAGGGGCCACGCTGTCTCGCTCCATCTCCCCAGCATCTACTCTGAACAAATTGGCATGCAGCTGGGGACACCCACTGAACACAACGTGGAGCAGCCAACTGTGCGGTGTATACAAGTCGTCTGGTGACACACGGTTCCTCTGTGCTGGCCAGTCAATGCTGGCATAGTCCTCCAGGTAGAGCTCCTGTAGGAACGGGGTGCCTGAGCCATAGGTGGGAACACAGAACCCATGTCCAGTCACCCACAGCCAATGACACACAGACACATGTGCTGGTACCAAGCGCCACCTGGCACTCTGGGAAGGATTTTTCTCAGCTGCCAACCCCAAGGCCACCTTGGTTATAGCCCTTTGGTAACTGAGGCAGGGCCAAAAAGCAAGCTAGGTCTGAGGTGGGAAAGCTCTGGGAACCATTTTAGCTATAGACCCCACTGCCCCTCCATTCATCTTCTCCCTCTGTCCCACCTCCTCCCCAGGACAGACCTGGACAATTCACATGAGGACTCCTACCTCACTCTTCTAATGAAGACTACACAGGTGAGGTGTGCCCTCACACCAGGGTTGGGGGGGCTCACCTGACGCAGGCTCTGCACCAACGGATCCTCAGCAGCACATGTCAGCCGCTTGGCATAGCAGAAGGTCATGGGCAGGTAGACCTGGCGGCAGTGGCACCAGATGGTGGAGGGGTGTGCTGGGCTCCACTCTGGAAACAGCCTAGGGGCAGGGGCTAGTCAGGGGTTCCTGCCCACCATCTGCTCATCACTACAATGTCTGGGGAATTCCCATGTGAACTGGATGCAGCCACTCCCTCAGGCCAACACACACCCACCAACTTACAGCTGTACCTGCATAGAGCAGAGGGCCAACCCAAGGCAGCATGGTGGCCCTTGTTCAGATGGAGTTTTAGACTTTAAAGCCAGACCTCTCTGTGGTCTCCTGGTCAAGACAAGTGCCCATGGTGACAAGAAATGGTAGTACAGAGCTAGGGCTCACAACGCTCTGCACCACTGGGCAGCATTTCTGGGAATCTAAAACTACTGCAGAAAAAAATTTATTTCATAGAATGGGGACTGTTGTGACTTCCTCATGGCCCAAATCTGACATTATGTTTGATGGCACACTGCCTCAAACGCCACAGAGTCTGATGGTGGCATAGCCACGATCCTAGGTTAAGTGGACCCACGCTTACTTCCCTGCAGCCTTGGCACGCAGGCTCGGCTGTTCCCTCACTTTCCTGAGGGCCAATCACTCCCTTGACAAGGGTTGTCACTTGTGGGTCAGGTGTGTTAACTCCAGTCCTCCACCAGGACATACCTATCCTAGGCCTGGAACCACTGCCCCTCAGACAGCTCAGCAGGATCATTGTCCTGCTTTATCCACAATTCATACTGCTATTCCTGCCTGCCGTCTGTCTCTCCCCCCAGCACCCCTTACCTGGACAACCATAGACATCTCCCCCATCCTCCCCTGTGGGCCTTCCAGGTGGGCACATGCCTACCACCTACACAGGTAATGCTCTCCTCTCCAGCCCCCTCACTCATCCCTCTGCCACCTGAGCATTGGTATCTCCTCCCTCCCTATCACCAACACAGGGCTGTAAGGCTCAGGCACATCCACATTGGCCACCACCCACAAGTCATCATCTGACACAGGAGTGGCCCCCATACACCTCCCAACAGGGACCCCACCATCATGGCACCCAGCAGAGACCCCCAACCAGCCCTCACGGCTCTACTTGAGCCCACCAAGGCTCAGGGGTGCCCCTCCTGCAGCACGTGAGGTTATGGGACTTGATGCATATCCATGGTGCCCAGGAGATATTCATGTATCAAGACACCAGTTATGGAAACCAGATAATGAAGAATTAGTGCTAACTTTCTTGTTTGTTATAAAGAATACCATAGTTCTATTTTCAAAAAATAAGAAGTCTTAGCTATCAAAGAAACATTCCAAAATATTCATGGCTGAAGTGGGATGTTGGAGATTTGGATTAAATGGCAACAGATGCCTCAATATTGATGCCATGAGAGTTGTGACACTTCCTGTGCTTCTATACACCACAAATTGGTACACATCCCCATGACTGGAAGGCACAGCCATGCATGTCCCGACAACACCTAGGCTCCCCATACACCCTACAGCCCAGGGCCCCAGCTCTCCTGTACACAGCTCATAGTGCTGCTCCCCTTTTCCCCAACCCTATCAGCCTGTGAGGCCCCCTGGTCTGCCACCCAACCACATCAACAGAACCACCCAGAGTGGACAGCATTAAAAAGCTGAGGAGCATATGATCCTGAAGCAAGTACATGACTGCTGCCTTAGAGCAGGGATGCAGGGACCACACTCCATTGCTCTCCTATGTAAGATGACTATGGCATGAGGTCACACATACCACATCTCCGGGAACAGGGTGTTGAGGCCTTCCCAGCTATACACGTTCAGCACAGCCAGCCAAAACTTGCCCCAGGAGGGGATGAGTGTTGCACCACCTGGAGCAGAGAGAAATCACCTGCACATCACCTGCACTAACCCTGCAGGAACCATGTGCTTGCCTGCTGTAAGCTCTCTAACCTCCATCAGAAAAGGTTCCAGGACCCACAGCCATGAGCAGCCATGCTTGTTTGGGAGTCTTCACCTGTTCTTGCTGTTTACAAACTGCTAAGGAGGTGGATCAACCACCCACACTCAACTCCCTGCTGTGTCTGTAATGAAGCCTGCCTTGTCTGGGCCTTTCCCACTGTGTCAACTGGAGGGTATCATTCCATTTTGCACGTGGAAGAGCCTTTTGTAAGCAAGTGGCCTGAACTGTGACCTAGCCCAGCGCATCAGAACACATCTTTCTTGTGCAAAACACACCTTTCTTGTGAAGAATGTTCCTGGCTCGTACCAGGTCAGGATCATCAGGCCCCACACCCAGGATTCTTAGAGACACATAGCTGAGGGCTGTCCCAAGCACTGTAGACTTGTCCTCAATGTGCCTGAGAACACAGAAAGGTAGGTGGGGATAATGTAACTTTATATTGTTTCTAAGGAACTAAGTAAAGCACTCAGGGAAATTTCCTCAGGAAAACATGAATGTTAAAAAATCTTATGCTGGCATAACATTACAACACTAGAGTACCCATTCTCCATGACCGTACATCTACCAGGACCATTAAGCAGATCCAGGCCCACACAGGCAGAGCCTGCCCATCCACATCTGCTGGGTATTTCCACTATGAATACTAGATCTAGTCCCGAGTGGTAGTTCACTTTGTGTATCAACTTGGCTGGGCCTGGTTGAGTGGCTGGGCAGCTGGATATAGTATTCCCCATGATGGGACTGGTAATCAACTCCATGGTAGAATCTACTGGGAGCAGCTAAGTAGCTGCCTTTGGGTATGTGGGCTCCTTCCCATATATAAGAAACAGCTATGGGAATGGTCTCTAGCTTATGGCATGTTTGGACCCTGCATATAGCCATGTCGTTGTTCAGCAGCCTGACATGCTCTGCTGAGCTGGGCGACTTACAAAGGACTTAAATTAACGGCCTGCCATGTGATTTGGTAACATCAGGACTATGCCTTTTTACTTGTCAACCTTGGGCTTGGCAGCCTCAGCAGCCAGCAGCTGTCTGAGTGAAGAAAAACCTCTAGCTTTAGTGGGCTGGAAGCTGGAGGCAGAGCTGAAGCCCAAGGCTGAGGGGCTTTCACCCAGCCCCTAGAGCCTGGCACTTTGAACTTGGACTTAAAGTCTCCAGACTATAAAGAATAAACTCCTGTTTGTTTAAGCCATCCCATTTGTGGTATTTTCTTGTCCGAGCAGTACTAGGTAACCAGAACAGGCAGCAATACTACGAAGGTTAGTTCATCACCAGAGCAGGCAGGCACACACACATCCAAACATGTACATTCACACACAGCCACACTTCCATGCACACACAAACACATGTGTGCACACTGAACATCCCACATACCTACATATACATGTGTGTACAAGCACAAACACACATGCAGAAATGCATATTACATGAGTACCTGTACAGTGCACCTACACATACAGTGTGAATGCAAACACTTGTGTGTGCACACATGTATAGAAGCACAGCCAAACACACATATACCATCCCTGCAAACCTGCACACATTTGTGCGTGCATGCATCCACTCATGACTACACACTATACTTGTCTCATACACTCACCCCACATAGCTTCATACATGTACACATGCACATACACCCATATACACATGCACACACTCACGCTGACACATGGTGCAGTGCACTTACAGTCCCCAGCCACCATCAGGAAGCTGCACTGATCTCAAGTACCGCACCATCTCTTCTCTATATCCAGGCAGCAGTGGGATGTGGGCCACATGGCATGTGATCAGGAGGCCTGTGAGGCAGAAAAGATGGTCCTTGCTAGGAGCAGGTGTGCAGCACTGTCCAAGTTCTCTCAAGAAGGCCACACAAGGGCGCCATCCCCTAGTGAGCATCTCTCTCCACAGTAATAGCCTTAAAGCCCTGGGTCACAACAGAGACTCTGAAAGCTGGTCCTATAGCAGCAGCAACAGCACCTGTGACACTCCCCCAGGACTTGCTGAGCCCCTACTAGCCACACCACAACCCATGAAAGTCTTAGAGTCAGAGACACCAAATCCCATGCAGCACCTCAGGGAGGGAGACACCTCTGAGGACCCCAGGGAGTCTGAGCTGGGTAGTCCATGAGGGGGGACTCTGGCCCTGCTCTGACACTTACTAGAGAAGAAACAGCCAAATGTCACCAGTGGTCCTACTGGACCAAGGTAATACTTGTTCATTTCTATTTTGTAGATTTTTTACAATGAGCATGTGACTTCTCAAATGGAAAAGGGATGATAAATGTTCTTCATGAAGAGCCTTCCCTCCATGCCCTGCCCTGATCCTCCCAGGCACAGTGCTCACAGAGTCCTTACTGCTGGCACCCTAGCCTTTCAAGGGAAGTACAGAGTATCAGAGGCTTAACAGATGCCCCTCATGTGAACACACCTCTGGGAAAGGACATCTAGGTCCAGAGACACCACACAGACTCACAGAAAATGCCACTCAACAGATCCCATCAACACTCTTTAGGGATATGGAAAAAATGATCACTAACTTTATATGGAAAGGAAAGAGACCTCAGATAAGCAAAGCACTACTGAAGAAGAAAAACAAAGTAGGA